GTGCTTCTCACTGCTGTAGGAAAATCACTTTTGTGAGTAAAATCAACTGTACAAGCACAGTTCTGCTTCTATTGATAGAACTGCACAAATAGCAGAGGTTTGTGACAGCGTAGCTGTGCCAGTCAAGAGTTGTGCCTTTTACAGCTCAGAGTGGTAAACAGTATAGCCATAGCTTAACTCGTGAGAAAAAATGTGATTAAGGGAAGGAAAAAGCTCTGGTGAAGTATGACCATGAAAACAGTTACTAACCATTCTTTTTGAAAAAGATGATTTCAAGCACTTACCTGTCATCCTTCTACTCTACTTTGCATCCGTGCAATACTTGAGCCCCCTCATCTTCATTGTTTTGTGTCAATTTTAAGCTTTTTTTTAAGCTTACAATTAATTGTAAGCTTAATTGTATTATAATACAATATATGTATTTTCTATGGCACTTGGTACAATGAGATTCAAATATAGTAGAGTTGTTTGGGTGCTGTTGCATTACAGATCCATGTCTGTCTTCCCTCGCACTTACATTTTTCAGTAGTTTTGATTAGAGTCTTGTTTTTCTGAGTAATAAGACATGTAACAGTTGTATCCTGGAGAGGAAAATAACTAAATTTATGGAGGGGGGAAAAACAGATGTCATAAATATTGTGGAACTGTGATCAGACCTCATTTCTTCGTATTGAGATTAGTTTGTATTTCTGTAAATGTCACTCCTTCAGTTCATTCTCCTGTGGCTGGAGCAGGCAGGGGTTCATCATGTCAAAATTTTCGAATTTAGGATCTCTGCTGAGTAGTGATAGAAAGAATGGGCATGTTGGATGTGCCCTGCTTGGTAAACTTTGAAAAGTAATCAAGCAAAGACTGTTTGTTTTTTTTTTTCTGGAAGCTTAGGGGTTTTTTTGTAGAACAGTTTGCCTGCATCCAAAACAAAAGCAGTGACAAATTCAATTTGATCTAAAATTTAAATGGATGGAAAATAGCATTTGACTGAAAAGGTCCAACAGTATTTAACTAAGGATAATTATTTTACTAGGAATCTGTATAAGTCAAGGAATACACTGAGGAGTGTCTGTCAGAGAGGGCTTTGGCAGTTGTAGAAAGCTGGGCTTTGTAAATTATTTTAAGTGTAACGGTAAAAAATAGAAGAGACTTTTTTTTTCCTTGCATTATCTTGTCCTTCCAGCTGCCACACGAGATGATAAAGAGCATGTTCTTCTGCATAATTTAATAATATCCCTTGCTGTGGAAGTGGTTGTAAGAGAAATTTCATGTATTTTAGTTAAATTTATTTATATTCTCCCCCTCCCTTTTTTTTTTAACCTAAAGCCTGATTTATCCTGTAACTTTATACTCATGTTTGTTGTTCTGATGTCCTTTTGCACATCCATGTGCATTGCTAAATTCTCTTCTCCAAACTTTGATGGTGGAGATGAACAGCGTGATGCATGGGAACTATTAATCAGCGGTCTCCGTTAGTCAGCAGTCTTGACTGACAGATACTTGCTTTGTAACAGAGAATTTGAAATTCCTTGAGTTACACTCCCTGTAGTAGGGGGTGCTGTGGTGTAAATTGGGGTGTCTGCTGTGATGCTGCATGGGTTTCCAGTTCTGCCACTGAGACGTGTTTTACTAAACAAGCCAAATGTGAGGGTATATTAGTACGACGTTATGGGGGAAACTCCTTAAGGTATCTTTTTGTTAACCTTCTTGGTTTCATTTGCTCTGCAGAGCAATTGCCTGTTGTTAAACTTAACTCCTGTGAAGTTTGTTGTTCATATTGGTGACAGTTTAGTCTGTATTTATACCAGAGTATTTTTGCCTTTTCTCTCATCTTCCTCTACTCTTTCCTATTTATCTTTTCTTTTCTTTTCTTGCCTTGCAAACTCAGCAAAATTAACAGTGGGATTTGAATACTGTACAGGTACTTGAATCCTGCCTTTTGTTGTCTTTTCTGTCACAGTTAATTTAAAAAAACCCACCCCCATTAGATTAGTGCAGTATGTCTGGAATAGTATGTAACATACTCCAGAGAGAAGCTTCTAAGTATGGATTTGACCTTGTGCAAATGTGTTTAATCCCTGTTGTTTGTTTGCATTTATAGTATTTAAACTACTACCAACAGTCCTGACACTTTAGCAATATGACTTTTATGTGCAATCAGTACTAGACATCTGTTTCATGCTTTAGAGTATATAGAATCATATCCAAAAATACATTAAAAGAACATAATAGTACAGAGGCAGGCATTCAAAAGTTAGGAAATGCCAGAATATGCCTATTCCCTGCATAATTTCTTAAATTCAGAAGTAAGCAGGACTTGCTCCTGCTCCTTTAAAACAATAACCTGCTAGTTTTATCTGTTGTAATAAGGTTCAAGTATGCCTTTCCTTTGTGGAAAGAGTTGTAGTGAGGACAAGTGGAGTCCCAAGTCTGCCTGCAGGATGTGCGGGGAGTGACAGGGTAAGCTGCAGTCCCACTCATTTGGGCAGTTTTGCTAACAATACTGTGATGGCCGGTTTACTTATCAGTAAATTAAATTGTTCACCTTGATTAATTCTTTATTTCTTTGCTGAGACTTGGCTTTTAGCAGGAACTTGCAAGAGGATTGAAACCTCCAATCTTCCAGGCTCAAGACTGAAAATAAGAACTTTTTTCCTGTGTACCTTGTGCAAGTCTTTTCATCTTTTTTGCTGTATTCACCTCTTAGCCTATAAACTGTCATGGGGTTAATGCAGTAAGTGAGACCAGATCTGCTGGTGTTTCAAGAGAAGTTGTTTCTGTGGTGGTGTTTGTCTCATATGTCAGTCAGAAGAGAACTTTGTGAACTTGGGGTCAAAGGATATGAATTATTAATAAAATATTTTTATGATGCTCTATGAGTCCACTCTAGAAGAACAGTAATTAGCTTCTTTCCAATAGCTGTTGGAGCATCGGTTGTCTACTCCCATGTACTAGGAATATACAACAACAAAAATGCCTTTAGAGTTAAATACCTGAATTTTGATTCTTACTGTACTCAGGATTTTTTTTTTCTTGCAAGGCTGAGCAGAAGAGAATGGTACTGTTCAGGAGAGGTTCCAGCTGGGTTGTCTTAAGAGAATCCAAAGCATGGTTGTGAGCAGTGGTTCATCAGCCCCTAAACTCCCGTTGGGTATGGTGTTAATAGTCTCTTATCAGCATCATGTGTTTAAGGGAGTATAGATGCTGGCATAAGGATGCTGAGGGTTCAGTACACTGACTGCCCTCTAGGCTGTAGGAGACCGGAACTCTGTCTCCTTGATGTGAACGTAGGACTCGTTGGTATTAAGCCTCTCGGCCTGGATCATGTTTCTGCTATAAATTCTAAATTGTCATAATTTAATCCATACTGCTAAATGGGCTCTGACTGGTGAAGCCAGTGGACTTGTATTGCTGTAACTGCATTTGAATTAGAGAACACTGCTGCCTTTTGTCTTGGTTGTACAACTTAATTTCGTGTTGGATCCCAGGTACTTCCCAGATAGCAGTTACTGCTTAGAGTGCTTACTCCTCCTCTTGCATGTTGGTGGGAATTTTATCCAAAATAACCGTGCCTTTGTAATCATTACATTAATTTGCAGTAACTTGGGGTGTGCATCTTGAGGTCCTTCTCTTTTTCCATTATATTTTCAGTTTATGAAACTGTCACTGCTGATATGGAGAGCATATTAGTTTAGATGGAATCTTCTGTGCTGATGTGAAACTGTAAAGTTATGAGTGTATCTACAATGAAGTGTTTTATAAATGCAGCTCCTTCATTTAAACCAGGTCTTGGAAGCATCAGGGTAGTTCACCCAGGCCAGTTAGCTCTACTAAGTGCAAAATGTATAATTCTTATGTTTGCTCTTTCTCAGTATGTAATGTCATATAATGGAAACGTTTGAAATAAGCAGGTCCCATGTGGTGACTTGTGGGGGGAATGATCTTCACTTCCTTAAAAATGACTGCCTAAACTATAACTTATGGTATGTGTCTTAGGACAAGAGCAAAAGAATGTTTAAGGCAAGGTATAAAATATATGAAGGTGCAGCTGTTTGTCAAGGTGAAAAATACCCTTTTTTATGATCAAGTTCTTTTTTTTCTTTTTTGACATTTGTCCTTTGCCTTGGGCTGATGAGCAGTTCTTTTGCTATTTTGCTCTGTGTTAGTGACTTTTATATAGTGTGAGGTATATGCTTAATATTGCAACAGAGCAGTAAAAGATTTAATATTGAATGTGTCAAAGGTGACGTGGCACCATCATTGCTAACCAAAAGAGAGATCTGTGTTTTGCCACTGGGGAAGTGCTGCCAACTAGTTCACCTAAGGAAAATAAATGGTCCTTTGAAACTCTTGTGGAAAATTAATTGCTTTCAGTGTAACATGTAAAGCATGCTACAGTTGGTGCCTAGCAGTATATCTATTAAAGATGCATTGATGGATCTGTGAATATTGGGTATGTTGCGTCCTGCTTACCTAAAACTTGTAGTCAGCAGTGCTCTAATTTCTGATAGCCCCAGTGCTTCCCAGTCCAGAGCTGCAGCTTTGATTAGCCTTGTGGTCTATGAGACAAGCATGGCATGAGCTGAGCTAAGAGGAGTTGGAAATGGCAGAACCTGTAAGCGTAAGAATAACAATTCATAATGAAAAACAGAACAAAAGGATATTTGAAAGAAGTCTGAAGACAACCTGGGAGAAAATTAAAATGAGAGGAAAGGGAAAACTTTGGGTTTCATGGTACGAAGAAGAAACGAAGTCTGATGGGAGTGGGGATTTAGGGAAGGGAAAGGTTCATTGTCACTTAGCATTTTTAATAGTTGAATGTAATTTATTTTACAGCTGCTCCCCACCAATTTTCTTTTGTGGTCAGTTGTTAAAAAACAAAGCTGTCTGCCCTGTTTTCATGTTATGCTTATTTACATAAACTAGATGAATATTCTCTGAATGTGAAGTGCATGTTCTACACGAGTCCATTTTCACTTCCCCCCCCCTCTTTTATTCTGTAGATTCCACCAATCTGCAAGCAAAGATCATGGCACAGTCCGGGGGGAGGTTATTCAAGGCCGTTATTAGAGGCTTCAGAGGTAGGTATAAATTGTTGTTCTTCCTGCTTGCATGTCAGAGGAAACTCAAGCCCTTGGAGCATGTTTCAGTTTAGTCTTCTGTTGTTCTTTTTTTTAAACTTCACCATTTACAGTTTTGAAATGCAGCAGGTTAAATGGCAAGTTATGTTTCTGCCTCTAGACAAGGAGATAACTTTGCTTAGAAGCCTCAGAGTGTTGCACTCTCCTCAAGAAGTCTTTTTGAATCTTTAGAAACTAATGCTAATACAGTAACTTACAAAGAAGAGTTCTTAAAATTGTAGATTTTATGTGTTGATACTTAGATTTATGTTGTCAGGCATAGAAAATACCAGTGCATAGAAAGCTGTGAGTTTTCCTTGAGTATGTATGAGGGCTTTATTACTGCAAAATTCTGCTTAGGTTGTGGAATATCAAGAAACCATGGAAGTTTATTCTCATCATTCTGAGCGCCAGGATGTCAGGCTCTTATTTCGAAGAGGTCTGCTTGCCTTATTACTGATGTAAACATAAGGAAGATGCAATTTTTACTGTTTGTGGAATAATTATGACACATTTCTAAGTAACGCACTTTGCTTGAATGAAGCTAGGAAATGTATTTGTCTTGGTTTTTTATTAAAAAAAAACCCACTCATAGAACTGACTTAAGCAGCTAAAATCTTTGGAGGGTCTTTGGGACTTCAAAGCATTAAATCTATCTAGATTGTTTTTTATAATACTTTTCTTTAAAACATGAAAAGTGAAATACTGATTTGGGAAACCCTGAGGTCGCTATCAAACCATATATATAAACTGAGATTCCTAAAGAGCTTTTACATAACTCGAACCCAGAAATTGTCAACATGTAGCAAATCTTTTAAACAAAATGCAGACTTTTCTTTGAAAAGCTTTAATACATCTATTGTTTGTGGCAGGCACTTTGAAGTTGAACTTGGAGCAATGCCTAGTGTTAGTGAGTTCTTATTTTTTAGTACATCTACGTGCATTAATAAATTCAGAAATTTTCTCCTTATTTATTTAGCATGGAATCTTGGACACATGCTAAGAAGTGAGTGTTTGTTTTTAAAAAGCAGGTTCTTTTCCTAACCTGCCCCTGTACATGCAGTATGTGGATTGCAGCAGGGGCTCTGGACCAGGTTAACTTGTACCTTGTCAGATGGCACCAGTAGGTGGTTCTCATCCTGATAGGAAAGAGAAGTGTGAAGCAGGCTTATTTATTAATTTTATTTGGAGGCAAAATAAATCTTTATGTACATGGAAAGAGTCTAATTGCTTAAGTGTGTTCCACTTAACATATAAATGCGCCTGAGTACGGTTATCCTCCAAAACTTTGATTTCTTTTCTATGTTCTTTAGTCCGCTTTTCAGTTCTTTTAACTGAACATTTTTGTCCTTTTCAGTCCTTTTAACCAAAATATTTAAGGCTCTTATCTTTACTTCCTGGCTGCTTGGAACATGCTTTTTACTATGCTACTAGATTCATAGTCCCTTTCTTACTGTTGTTTCCTTAAGCAAGGCAAAGGGTTTTTTTAGTGCATGCTAATATCTTTTATTAAAGCAAGCTGAAACAGTTGGAGGATGAGGTGGGGAATACAGACTAGTAGTTCTTTCTATTGGCTTTTACATGCATGTTTCCTGAGGTTCTTGCAAATTGACTTTTCATTTTCACACAGATCCTCCTGAGGTGGCGACTGATAGAAAAGAGAATGTGTTGGCATGGTCATGCAGGTGGAGGGCTTCACACAGATCCAAAGGAAGGGGTAAAAAATTGCTTAATTAGTATTGCTTTTTAACAACAGATTTTACTTTTTAACCATATGTAATAAAAGTGGGCAAGGCCCCCCCCCCCCCCAAAAAAAAAAAAAAGGCAGAAGACCAAGCAACAATTTGTGAAAAACTGTATTGGTAGATATTTGAATACTATAGTGGAGTAGATACTGTTTAATTGTCAATGTAGGCTTACCAGCTCTTAAATCACCAAATGCTTGTAATAACTGTGTTGAAAGTGTTTCAATTGTTTTATTAAAAATATAATCTTAGTGTCACACACTCCTTAGAAATTGGCCTGTGTTATGTTAAGATTTTTTTTCATGGAAGTTATGTTCCATTGTCATTGTGGGTTTTTTTATTCTTGTTTATGACGATACTTCCCTGTGACTTGACATTCAGGATAGTAGAAATCATCTTGTGGATGCAAGTTAGTGCATCAGTTGGTAAAATTGCAATTGAAGCAGAGGGGAGAAGTAATTAAACTGCATGTATTTTTTCTTGGGCTTAATGTTAATACATCTGATATATTTTGACTATTTATATTCAGGAAGTTAAAATAATTATGATAGGTATGTAAGGAGAAGCAGTATCTTTTATTAGACCAAATGATCACAGTTAGAAAATGAGGCAAGCTTTTGGTTAAAGCAACACAATATAAACTTTGCATGATTAAAATTGCAAAATCAAAATTCTTGAATTTATGTAACTTTTATTTTCTCACTTCCTGTGCAAACTGACTTCTGATACTTGGTGTATTTGCGGAATGATTCTGCGTGATGATTATAACTTGTTTAAACTTGGGTGGGATTTTCCTAAAACCGGTGAAGACCATGTTGATGACAAACTGAAATTTCAGTGCAGAATCCAGGTCTTTCAGGGCTGGTTTGCTCATGCTTAACTGTGATAATGTCTTTCCTGCAGCCTCATTTGTAAAGAAACTGAAGAGTTAAACCTAGGATTTCTCTTGTATTTTGGTCAGAGTTGTCCCTTCATTGAATCCAAACCTGTGTGCTTCAGGCAAAAGTCAGGAGAGATGCTACCAAAATTTATGAAATTCCCTCTTACTAACAAAGCATAACCTAAAGTATAGCCAGCTTGTTTTAGCAAACATCTGTGATCTTTTCTGCATAAGGCACAGGGGGAAACAATAATTGGACATCTTCAGTCAGTAGTACTGCTGGCTCTGCATGTAACATTAACTTCATACAAATTTTAAGACCCTCCTTGCAACAGGTGCATGCTCTTTCAAAGATTTTCTAAGCAAAATGGACTTTAACGTTAGCAGGCTATCCTTCTCTGTGTTTACCCTAATTATATATGTTATGGAATATAATTATTATGGATTGAATGTCTCCTGTAAATGGGAGGAGGGTATTGTCCCCTGTGTTGTCACTTGGTGATCACACATCCCGTTGGGTTTAATTATTCTTGGGGGTTTTCTTCTAGAATTTCTGTTTGCCTGAGTATGTTGATTGACTGAATGTTTCCTGTTTGCTGTCATAACATCATTCTTTGCAACTCCATGGAAAAGACTATTTTTTATATACATAGAACAAACTCACCCTCTTATGATTTAGTTGCAAATTCATTTCACAGACTCAACTTCACAACTGACCTATCTTCAAAAATACCACAGAGGGCCATTTATTCTTTCTTTTAGAAAAAGCTGTTTCCTGAAATGCAGACATTTTTCAGCTAAACCCCTTTCCATGTGATAGGCAGCTTGCAGGACAAATTAATTTCATCTAATCATTATAGATATTACATGTTTAATCATCATGTATTTTCTTTGAAGTTACTATTTCTCAAAGGTCTGCAGTTTAGCATCATTCAGAAACTTAAATTTCAGGGTTTTCTCTGGTCAGAAAGGAAATTGAAAGTTCTGTTTAACAAAACACTAGTAATGTTAAGGAATAGTGGATGATCCTTAACACTAAAACTCACTAGGAGTATGTCAGCCAGAAATTTTGATGCCAGCTGATATTTTCTTATTCTGCTAGGCAGTGTAAATATTCCAGTGGCATTCTCTGTTCACCCATTATTTGCAGCTATTCCTGTATAAGCCAGTCCTCTGACTTTTTTATTTCAATAAATTGATTTATAATGTAGTTAATGTGGGATGTTGTCATTTAAGGCTGTTGTCTAACTAAACGATTACCAGCTGTTAAGGATTGTCCAGGAGACAATACTGAAACTGAAAACAGTATTGTTCTTTATCACCTTTGGGTTGTTTTTTTTTGTGTTAGTCTTGTACGCAGAATAGACAGGAATAAAAACTGGTGTGTGACTTGTTGCTAAGCGGACATGTATTGCTTTCTTATGGAAAGACCGATAGTCATGATGGAGCCCTGATAATTAGCCTTCCCCTACCACGGTTTCACTCAGTTGCTATTTAGTTTGCTAGTCATTGCTTGCCTTCTGTGGAGGGATGGATAGTTTGAAGACAAAAGACTATACTTTTTTTCCCCAAAGTTTGGAAGGAAGATTCAGACCCTAGTTTGACATTTATTTAAGCTGATAAGGCAACTGAACAAAGAATCTTACCTCCTCCTCACTGCAAGCTGCGTATCACTGACAAACAATCTAAATGCCTCCTGGTATTAAAAAAAAAAAAAGAAAAAGTCCTGTTCTTAGCCATGCTTTTTCTCATCCTACTGAATTTGTAGGTTTACCTGACTCTTTGAGACAAAACCCTGCAGCAAACACTAAAGAGTTTTCTCCCAGTTTCACAGACGGAATCAGTTCGTTAAGGTGTTTCATGAGCTCCAGAGGTGTTGCGAGAAAGGGGCTGGCATTGTACAGCTGAGTGCTGCAAAGAGGAAAAAGCTGGGGAGGAAGCAAGCTCTTAGTGGTTTGCAGGATAACCTCGTGCAGATGTAAGACAGCTTGTGCTCGTACAATAAAGAGGATAATACAGCTTCTGGAGTGAGTACACAGGGAGCCAGAACTGGGTCTTTTTTTCCTTCATCAGCAATGACAGCTTAAATGCAAGTCAAACTACCATTTTCTTCCATCATGCTTCTGATAGCTCATCATCCTGGCATAGGCTTTATCCATAAAGTCACGGGGTCAGCCCAGCGATTGCTTTGCAATACTCAGTCTTGGAGATTGTGAGGAGGAACTATGACTTTTTTCTCCTCTTTAGGTATTTCAAAAGGTCCAGAACCTGGATGGGATGGGGGGGGATGACAGGAAGATAGTTGGTGTTCGTTCCTTTGCAAATAGTCTTCAGTATTTGGTAGTGTATTTTAAAAACGTGCTGTATTCAGAAAGAAGAAAAGGCTTTTCTTCTTTGCTCCCTGCTATATTAGATTTATAATACTTATCCTTCCATTCCTTCCATTTCTATAGAAATAAGCCTTGGAAGAACATATAAAACATTCCCACCACTTAAAAGGGGGTAAAATAAATGCATCTCTTACCCTTTTTATATACCACAGAGAATCAAAAAAGGGCCTGAGTCCATTAAACAGATTGCTCATTTTAATTCTTAATGTTGCCGCTTGCGTATTTAAACCGTTTTCAACTCATGTTTCTGTACAACAGTAACATTTATTTCATGGTAAACTTTGATGTAATATGTGTGCATTTTGCATCTCCTTTGATATTTCTTCTTGTTCCTTTGCAAGGCCTTTGGCAAATGACTGGCTGCCTCCTGACTTTTTTCTGAACGGATTTACTTCTGTCATCGTTCAGAGCCATGAAGAAATGGAAATAGATTCCTTGTTTGCAGCCAAAGTATTTTGTTCTTTTTAATAGCTTTTCTGTGCAAAGTCTGGCTAGCCAATAGCAACATATAATTAGAACTGCTCTGGTTGCACTAGTATCTTTTGTGTTAATGCGATACCATTTTTTTAACTTCCTTTTAACCTGTTAGTGGTGATCAAACATTTTCCAAATGTTTGAACTGCTACTTATGCATATCCTTAGCTCAAATGGAAAGATTCATGTATATGCTGCAGCAGATACCTCCATCTCCTGAATGGGTAGGACACAACAGAAACAATTTTGCATCCTCTCTTCACTTACAAATCTTTCATATAACCATTTTTTTAAAAGTTGTTTGAAATGTGCTTATACTGCGTAATGCTCCAATACATTTGCAATTGTTGACAAAATGCAATCTCTCTTCCCCTTTGGTTTTCTTTGAAGCTGTGACTAGAAACACCGAGATGAATTTTCCGGTGCTTTTACAAGCTTACGTTTATAGGATTGGCTTCCCCGGTTGCCTCAGCAATCTTAACTTTTAACAGAACTCTCCTTTCTGGCTCATTCACACTGGACCTTAACAGAGAATTTCTATTCTAATTTGTTTTCTCAAATTTGAGGAAGGAGCATTTAAAGTACACAATCTAGTGAGGGAAACATTAAAACGTATTGTAAAACTCCCCCTTCCTACTAGCTTCTGTAATGAAAAGTCATCTTTAAAAGGTGTGGACTAACTTTT